GTAATTCAAATACCAAGAATTTTAAATTCCTTGAATTTGTAAAATTTCTCATCCAAACACACTATTAAGGAATTTCATATCCCTTATAAGTGGTGTATGAATTGCAATACACACTTGATGAAATCACTTATATAAGTGTCAAGTGGAATTGTTTGTATGAGATTTTAGTGATATCTCTAGAGTACTTATGAATACATTTGATATAATTTAATTAAAATACATTTATTATAAATAAATAAAATGATGTTATAATTCAATCACTCATCAATTATCTATATTTATATATAAAGGTGATTCATTATTTTCATGTTCACTTTATTTTACACAATTTTATCTCTTTATAAAATTGTACGATAATAATTAACAAAGGTCTAAAAAGTCTTTTATATATTAATTTTTCTTTGAATCTCTTAATAATCACACACTACCTCAACTAACCACGTGTATTTAGAGAAAGGCACAAAGTATCTTATACCTACCTATCCCTTTTAGCATACACAATTTTTGGAAAATTTTATCTACATAACTATCTCTCAAATCATTTTTTTTCTTTTTTCATCATTTTTTATTTAGACACCTTGAATAATAAATAAAATAAAATAATACTAATAATAAAGGGGATTATCCCTCTCTTTTTTTTTGGTAATAATATAGGATTGTCCCCTTTTTGGTGATAATATAGGATTATCCCCTTTAGTATCAACATAATTTGTCTACCTCTCAAATTATTCTTTCTTTTTCCATCATTTTTTATTTAATCTTTATTTTTATTTTAAAATTTTAAAATTATTAAAAAAAATTACTATTACAATTACGATTACTCAACAACAGTTTATCTTCTAATTATTAACATTTGCTTTTATTTTTTTTTTTAAATATACACGAAAGCACTTTTATATACTGGTGTTTTATAATTAATCTAAAAACCATCCTAAAATAATTTATAATTATTTTATAGCATATAATTTTTTACACTGCAACATATTAAATAAACTTCTTTTTTTCACATTATTTTTTTAATATACTTGAGTCATAATGAACTCTCATTAATTTTGATGACGTCCGCATCACGGCAATTTTCGTGCAGTCGAAACTCTAAAGGAAGAGACCGATCAAATGACCATTTGAAGATTATTAGGGTTAGTTTAGTAGTTACGTAAGGAGGGATTAGAATAATTATAAAATAAAGATCTAGGTTATTTTTATAATCTTCTCAATCTTAAAAAAAAAATTTGACCATTTCAAGGATTGTACTGTTCTTTTTTCACGACCGATTATGAAAATGTAACCAGATACATAACAGGTTCTTAAAAACATAAAATCTATTATTCCAAATCAAAATAAATTATTGAAAACTAATTATGTTTAAGTTATATTACTTAGTTTATATATATAAGATCTAAATATTTAATTCACCAAAATGAAAAAAATTATTAATCTAATTAATAGTAATAAATTTTTCTATTTTCATTTTTTTTAAAAATTATTTTTACTATTTTTTATTAATTAATTAAAATATGTTCTATACTATTTCTCTCATAACTAATATTATTTAATTTCTTGACCAATTAAAATTTATGTCTTTTATATAATCTATAATTAATATATTATTTCATCAAATTAAGAAAACGTATTTTAATTTAAAAATAATTAATACATAAAAAAATATGATTTGGATCTTTTATAAAATAATAAATAATTATTTTAAATTGAATCTTATAAATAAAAATAGAGATAATAATAATTATTTGTAAATATGGTTATTAACCTATTATGATTAAGTTATTCAAATAACATATAATTAACTATACACATCCTCTACTTAACACCTAAATTGGGTCAATGGAGTTCTAAAAGGCAGGGGGGGGGGGGGGAAATATTTTAATTTTTTCTAGAGGAAT